AACAGAACGAATGCCAGGCCAAAAGTAGCACGTTGAAAACTGGCCGATGCAGATTCGGTTGCACGAACAATGAAGTGTTTGTCTGCTGGCTGTACTAAAGGCAAAAAAGCGGCTACGATTTCGTTTGACAAGTGGAGAGGGGCGCGGTTAATTTGAAAAAAAATACCTCTTCGCTGATTTTTTCGCTGTCTGCTGCCTCCATTGACATTTTTAAAATTCTTCAAGACATGCATAAGACAAGTAGCACAAATATTTGCCGAAATAACACCATCGAAAATTCTTCCTGAAAACTGACGTAACAGTAAAATGCACGAATTTCATCTGCGCAAACTTCGTTTGTTCTGAAAGTGACAACGGGCCTCAGCAGAATGAGAAGGCCATTCCATTCCGTTGCGAGGTAATGCTAGCAGCACAAGTTTCTTCTCACCGACGCGAAACGCGGCTTGTATGAAACGAGAGGCCGTTACGTGTGGACGATAAGAGGGCAGCTTAAGGCACGCCATGTCAACTCTACGATCCAGCACTTTACTGGGACTAGAAATGCCAGCATCCCTGCGCCCAACTTCGAGCTCAGTAACTGAACGGCACTGACTCACCGGCCTGAGGAAGTACAGCAACAAAGAGAGGCCACCAACCCCACACATACACACCAACTACTCTCGCGCCGCCTACGACAAAAAAGCTCAACAGAGGGGGTACTTCGCAACACGGCCAAGCCGGTAAGCTTCATTTCGCTACTACTCATGGGTCTCGGACATCCTCAGGCACAGGAATGTCACCCCGGAAGGGCAGCCATGGGGAGTACTACTCCCCCAAAACTTAAGGAATACAGCTACTCAGAATTTCCTTTGGCTGTACGGGCCGTTATTTCAGTAAATATGATTTGGCCTACCAACAGCGGCAAAAAACCACTTGATAATTTCACCCCCTTCACCAGCCCTACTTGGGCGGTTCAATTTTGGTTAGGCCTCCTGTGGCCCCTTTTACCCCAGGGCCCCTCCATCCTCTCGCTCCATCTGGAAGGTTGTCCCCTCCCCACCTTTGTTTCTCAACACATCCTGTTAGTACACAAATTTCGGATGCCGTCAGGCTGGGTGGGGGAGCCAGGCTGATGGGAAGCTATTTGCATAGTGCGCTTGCCCGCACTGAAGAACATTTCGAAATACAATTCCCACATCTGCTAAGCAATTTAAGGAGGTAGCTGTGTATGGCAGGCTGGGGGTCGGGGAGGACCGACGAACATTACATGATCTAGTATGTGAGGCTTGTGAGCAGAGTGAAGGAAACTGGGCAACAAGTGCACAGAGGTAAAGTGAGGCTGATGAAAGGCGCGTGCATTGTTAGCAGTTCGAGACGAGACTCGAGAAACAGTCCGGTGAACTTGTGGGCATCTATTTCCATCTGGAACGAACGGTACAGACTGGTAGTGCGTCGACTGTCAATGCGCAGCAGCACTGCCAGTTCAGCTGTTTGGAAGTGAGACATGGAATAGCACGGTTGCTGAGGCGAGGAAGTTAGCCAGCAGCCAACGAGCCATGAAATGACGGATATCGCGGCAGGTTGCTGTAGTTTCGGTCTGGTATGCTAGCGGGGCAGTGCAGGCCAAGATCAGCTCTCAGTGTGACAGAAACAGATTTGATCAAAGCAGATTATTGAATGGTAGCCATGCTGTGTTAAAAGAATGCAGCGAGTAGTGAACGGACCAAAATGAGCAGCTGGCCGGGGCCATTTGCGTGGGAAAGGGGCGAAGCTGCTATCCGCGCCAGTGGCGCGAGGATGCGGACCAGCTTATCGAAGCATCACTCATCCGGAAGTGCATAGTTCAACGTGATGCGCTGCAATAAGTGCAGTGCTACACGTTTGTTTGGCCTGTTTGGAGGCTTGCCAACCCCCTCAAAGATGCAAATTTGAATTATTACATGGCCGGCCTGGCTGCATTTAAAGACGCTGGTGGAAGGAAGCCTGGTCAGTTCAGTCGATTCGTTAAGGTCTAGCGGCGGAGCGAACTGTCAGTGTAACTGCGACGTGATACTGTGAGTGGTTAAGATTTCCACAAGCCGATGAATGCTTTTTTTTTGATTTTTAGTTGGCGCATCGCCCGTTTTTATGCGTTTTTGCGTATATGCAAGTGTAAAATCGGGAAGAGGTTGTTTATATGTGCGTGTGTCTGTGTGTTCGCACTTTTTGTCGTCGCTCACTTTTAACTCAAGAACCAAAAAAGCTGAAACTTCGGAGTTTTGTGCCTATACCATGTACGACCCTACCGTTTTAATCTTTTCACTCGTATACTCCTGGGTGCAGCGTACGGATGCCTAAAAAGAATGTGCAAACTTTTTGGCAGGGAAGCGACCTCGGGAACCAGAAAGGATGGAGAGCTGAAAATTTGCAGGGATATTGAGCGAAACATTTCAAATTCAGCCCCTAGGTGTGCGTGGTTCTCGTGTACAGGTGCGTGAAAGTCTTGTGGGGGAGGTTGCCAACGCGGTAACTGGAAAAGCTGGAAAGTTAAGATCTTAAGGAGATGTTCCCCGTTCACATGCAGCTTAAAAGTTTTAAATTCAGCCTCCAAGTATGCGTGATCCTCCCGTACAGGCACCTAAAAGCTTTAGCGGGAAAATTGCTTGCTGAAAAGTTAGGCCATTTTCAAAGAACGACCGTTAAATGATAAGCAGAATTTTACAAGCGCGAGATAGCATGTTGCAGTATCGATTGCACGAGTCACAGAAGCTTTTTATGTGGTATTGTTCAGGTGTTCACTGTTTTTGTTGGATTAGCTGCTGGTTGTGAAAGCAGCAGGTGCGAGCTGGTCGCCATCCAGCTCGCTCCTGGACTGCAGGGGAAATTGTTCCGCAAGCTTTGCTACAAGTCGAAATTACGTATTAGCTAGCCGTAAGTAACTGGTGGAGGCAAATCGAGGGAAATTAAAAAGCAAGCTCGCAAACTGGATTTTGGTGAAATCCGTATGAACTGTGTGACAAAATTTTCTTCTTCTTCGGTGCGTCTCTTCTTTTTTCTTCGTAAAAAAAGAAGTATAGAAAGAAGCGGGGAGAGAGGCAGGCGGGTACGTATGGAAAGAAGTGTCTAAATAGAAGACAATTTTATTATGCGTTTTTTGTAGGTATGCAATATAGAAAACGCATATTGACGAGGGATTGTCTGTGTGTATGTGTGTCTGTGTGTCCTTGTGTCTGCGTGTGTGTGTGTGTGTCTGTGTGTTCTTCTGTACCGATTTTTCATCTCGAGACCGGCAAAAGCTACAGGGCTGAAACTTTGGGTACATAATCTACATGCACGTACGGACCCTCAACCCCGAAATGGGCGGTCTTACCCACGTGGTACCCGCGTAAGAGCCCGCCAAAGTTTTTTTCAGGTAAGTTGATAACTCGCGAAACAGAAAAGCTAGAAAGCTGAAATTATAAAGGAATGTTCCCCGTCCAACTGGGTATTAGTGAGCTCAAACCCAGCCCACGGTTAAGAGTGGTACCCGCGTACGAGCCCGCCAAAATTTTTTTCGGGTAAGTTCGTAACTTTGGGATCTGAGAAGCTAGAAAGCTGAAATCTCAGGAGAATGTACCCCGTTCAAGTGAGTATTAGTGAGCTCAACCCGTGCCCCTGGATAAGCGTGGTACTCGCGTACGGGCCCGCCAAAGTTTTTTTCGGGCAAGTTGATAACTCGATTACCTCAGAAGCTAAAGGATTGTAATTTTAAGAGGATATACCCCGTCCACCTAAGTTTCATTCAGCTCAAACCTAACTCTTGGGTATGCGTGGTAAACATGCACGGGTCCATGAAAATTTTTTTCCAGTAATTTGCTAACTCAGGAGCCAGGGAAGCTAGAAAGCTGAAATTTTAAGGGAGTGTTTTCTGACAGTTCTGGCGGCCAGTCTTAATTTGTTTAGCTAGAAGCATTTGCCGAAAAAGCCGATACCGGTAGCAACAAAAACTGCGGGGAACTATGCAAGAAACGTATCTTCGCACGGGCAGCCCGTGCGTTGGCCAATTATTTTGTTTCAGAACAATGTCGGATGAAAATGGAACTAACACTTCATCGCGCTCTTTTTTGCGCGCCGCGATCGGTAAGTGCCATTATTAATTGATACACACTGGGGATAACTTGGTGTGTAAGCTTTCCTCTTCTTGCAAGCTCTGAGGCAACGCCATGACTTCAGAGGGCTAGCTCGCAGAGCAATCATTCTCGCTCCATGCAGAAATTTTTTGCCAGCGCTTTAAACTCATTTCAGCAGCAGCAGTAGTTTTTTGATATTTTCCGCTGCCACCATCTCCAAATCTTACTTCGCTTCTCTTTCCTTCCGTTTCGCTCTTCTCGGCCATCCACTCATTCATCTCATACCGTGACTCCAGATGCTTATTATATCTTAATTTTACTTCCCTTTCCATTTCTGTCGGTAAAAAATATTTGGCAGCCTTGAGTTTAGTTTGGCTGGCCGTTGTGTGATCCCCCCCCCCCC